ATTTCACATATGTCGACATGTTCCGTGATCTTCGGCGACTACTGTATATGTCCCAATCATATAGATCGGATTAACACTCCATTTTCACCTATACATATATGAGTAGTATGGAAGGCTGTTCAATAAGATCGTGATTGGTTGTACCTGCCACAGCTGGAGAAGTTCCTGCCTCCAGGGTTCGATGCAGATGTTGCAGTAATGAAACTTGCCATGGTTCTCATTCAACCGTTTCCTGCCGAGCTCTTCCAGCTTCTCCATCGGTGCCATACCGGAAGAGATGATCCAGCAGCTGTTTACACACACGCTGTGCGTCAAGCCCTAAGGGGAGGGAGAGAGAGATAAAGATCAAGGAAGGGGGAGACTGGGGCTGAATTTAGATACAAAATATGAGCTGGGTGCCAACATGCAGGGTACGGTTATGTTTTTGCGGGAAGATAATGAAAGATTCTCACGCAGTACCCGCCTTTTGAGCTTGTGCTGCTTTTGGCATCAACAAAATTAGCACGAAACAGTTAGCGCACGCGGTTAACCTAACTTTGCCCGTGGTAACATCCAGCTCCCAGATTTACACTCCCCCCCACCTGTCGCCATAAAGGTTTCTCCACTTGAATTTCCCCCGGTTTGTTTTAAGTTTTTAACTTTATTGATTAGCCTACGGGGCACTTTTCTGTGACCTTGCTGTTTTGCATCGATTTTTTCCTGTACGAAATCAATTGTTGTATCCTCTTACACATTCTTCATGTTATGCATGCAGCGAGTCATAGCAGCTAACGAGGACTCGTGAAATTTAGCCCCCAGACATGGAAGATCGATTCGTCACACTTCTGACGCAGGCACCAAACACTGCACACGATGCCTCACCAGGGCAGATTAAAAAACCTTCACTTGTCAACCGGTCTCGGCGGAATTTCTGAGGTGACATTTCCAATACAGCGGCAGAATACCGGCGAAACACGTATCTAAGCCTTTTAGCAAGTACCTAGGCTGTTAGTATGGCAAATTAAAACGTCAATTTATACTACTAAAGACTGCCCGATGGCAGCATGTGTATATTTCACAGGGGTTGACGGGTTTCAACACGAAT